GGCTGCCATTTCCAGCCTTCAGGCAGATGGATCCTGGGTTTCAATCCCAGCTACCTGGTGAGCGACCTTGGCTATTTACTAAGCCACAGTGTCCTGATTTCCTCACTAACTAGATACATATTCCTTTCTGCTATTTGTTTCTCATCCCCAGCTTCCTGCCCCTTGGAATTACCCAGGTTGTAGCAGCACCTCTTATTCCAATGAGGTAACCCTTGGCAGGACACTTTACAGAAGGCCTAGCTGTTGTGGAATACTACTTCAACTATGTAGAGGTGTTTACATTTGTTTCTGCTGCATTTGTTTAATCATGTAAAGATGTGTTGCTTTGCCTGCCTACGGCACCAGATTGGTTTAATAAAAAAGCTGAACAGTTAACAGTGAGGCAGTAGAGGGACAGGCAGGGCTGGTGGGCAGGGAGAATAACTAGGAGGAGAGATGAGAGCCAAGAGAACAAGAGAGGGCAGTGTCTGGGGCCAGCCTGCCAGGCAGCCACCAGACAGACAGACAGACAGACAGAGTGGGACACACAGAATGAAAGAAAGGTAAAAAGCCCCAAGGCGAAACGCAGATGAAGAGGAACAGGATAATGTAAATTACAAGCTAGTGGGACAAGCAGAAGACAAGGTGAGCATTCATGACTAATAATAAGTCTCTGCGTTGTGATTTGGGAGTTGGTTGGCGGCCCAAAAGAAAGCCTGCTACACCAAGCCGTGATCAGGCGACTGGAACTTGGAGGAAGCTGGAGAGAAGGAGCAGTAGATTAAGGATGCTTGCCTGCTAATGGGAGGACCAGAATTCCAATTCCCAACACCCACGTGAAAAGCTAGGCATTGCTACTTACTTGCCTGCAACCCATCGGGAGCCAGGTGGAGACAGTAGGTTCTGGGATTTCCTGGCCACCAGCCTAGCTAAAAAGCTGCAAGCAGGCAGAGAGTGACAGAAGGAGACATGACAGTCTTCCTTGTCTTCAAGCACACACACGTCAATGCACACCACAAAGACGAGATTAGCCCCACCTTTATTCTCAGGCAAGGGGAAAGGATCATAAGTAAGTTAACTGTTGAGGTAGGCGTGGTGGCACACACCTTTAATTCCAGAACTCAGGAGGCAGAGGCAGGCGGATCTCTGTGAGTTCAAGGACTCTCTACAAAGAGAGTTCCAGAGCCATTACCTGCATGGAGAGAGAGAGAGAGAGAGAGAGAGAGAGAGAGAGAGAGAGAGAGAGAGAGAGAGAGAGAGAGAGAGGAAGTATGAGAACTGAAATCTAGGTCAGGGACCGTCTCCTATGCTGGCTTGTATGCACCAGTCCCAAGGGATAGAGGTTTCTGTGCCCCAGACCCTCTAGACCTCACCCTAAGTATCACTTCATTTCATTTCTCTATTTCCTTTAAAAACAAAAACAAAAACAAACAAGCAAAAAACGGGGTCTCATTCTGTAGCAGACTGTTCTCTAACTCACAACGCCCCTGCTTCAGCCTCCTGAGTGGTGGGATAACAGGTGTGCGCCACCACGGCCAGTGTATGACATGTTTCATTATGTAATAAGCTGATGGTAAGTAACTAAGTGTACCCCTGAGTTCTCAAGGCTGTCCAATCAAGTGATTCAACTCCAAAAGGAAATCATAGGGACTGGGTCTTTTGCCATTATTTTTTTTTTTTTACTTTTTAATTTCATTTTACATTCCAACCACAGTTCTCCCTCCCACACTTCCCCTGCCCCCTACCCCACCCCCAGTCCACTTCACCTCACGGTAAGGCCTCCTGTTAGTCTGGCACGATAGGTTGGGGCAGGGCCAGGCCCCTCTCCCACACATTAACGCTGAGCATGGCATCCCACCATAGGGAGTGGGCTCCAACAAGCTAGCTCATGGACCAGGTCTGTGTCATGGTCCTACTGCCAGGGGCCCCTCAGCCACATAGGGACTGACCTTTTAGCTGGTCGAGCAGACATGGTTGACAACCTGGGGCTTGTGGTTGTGATCTGAAATGGAGGTACAGACCTGTGGAACTGAACCCCTAACACATGGTACCCAATGCCAACCCTGGCTAGTGACAACTGATTTGAATTGGAGGATATTTAGTGTCCACTGGACAAACCCACACACCTGGTCTCAAAAGTGTGCTGAGTGTATACAGAACATGGAATTTGTTTCTTTCATATTACAATAATACAGTGTGTTTTGAGGATTCAGTGGACCTGATTTGTGTGTTAAATCACTTAATCACTCTGAGCATTTAGCTTATTTTGCAATATGTCTCTGAGATACATTAAATAAATGATTCTCTCTCTCTCTCTCTCTCTCTCTCTCTCTCTCTCTCTCTCTCTCTCTCTCTCTCTCTCCCACTCTTCCAACTTCACCATGTAGATCTGGCTGTCCTTGAACTCCTTACATAGGCCTCATCTCTCAGGGATAATGTCAGATGTTTCTGATGCAATAAATGCCTGAGAGGAACAACAGAAGGAAGGAGAGTTTTGCTTGACTCGCTGTCAGTTCGGGCTCCTGTAGCTTGGCACCAATGTTTTGGGGCTTGTGGCCAGGCAGAGTGTCGTGGAAAGAAAGAGGGTGCAGTGAAGCACCATTCTCACCTCACAGAGGACAAGAAGCAAAAGATCTCAGAAGGAGCCAGAAGCCATGCGTGTCTTTCCAGGGCAGGTCCTCAGAGAGCTCACTCCAACAGGTCTTTAGTTTTCCGTCACACTCAGATACTCTACGAGGGGGTTATTCCACGCCTGGGGCCTCAGGGTCAAGCCTCTCCCTTGAATCCCATCAAACCTTTGCAGGACATTGCAAATCACACTCCGATCAGGAGCAAAGGCAGCTGCTGTGACGTGAAGAGGAAAACCAGGAGAGCTGGCGGGCGTGGCCACACACTGGCTGAGGACCCATGCGTGGTCGCCTTTTGGGTGAAGGCAGGGGCTGCCCTTTTAGCTTGGGAAGTTGGGGGATGACCTTGTGGGCCAAGAGCATTTACTGGTGGAGTGGATGTAGCATTTAAGAAAGAGGTCAAGGGGGACTTCTACACTTTTGACCTGAGTAAGGTGAGGTTTGTCCCTGAGGTGTCTTGCACAGAGGAAAAGGCAGGCTTGGTAAGGGGAAATAAAACATTGGTCAGAACACTTGATCTTTCTGCTACATAAACTGTCCCATGCTTGGTGAAACAAAGCAATAGCTTACTGGTATCTTTCATGCTCTACCTGTGGACCGGGCTCAGCTAAGGAACTCTCAGTTGCTTTTGTTCTTGCAAAGTGAGGCACTTGAGGTTCACTCTTACGGCTGGTACTTAAGGCTGGTCACTGGCTGGGAGCCCAGCAGGAGCAGTCTACGGCAGTGCCAAGATAAATTGCCTGTCCTCCTCTGGGTAGGAATTCTCTGTAAAACTGTATTCCAAGAGATTTGCATAGAAGTTCCACAAAATTCCTGTGAACTAGCCTCATACATATAAGCTGTATTTTGTTGGGGAGATAACTCATTAAGCCTCTAGTTCCCTCTCGATTTAGGGGAGAGGGGAAAGAAATTATTAAGAGGCATTTTTGTGCTTTCATATTTATGATGCTAGTGGAGTGATGAAAGGCACCTTTTCATTCAAGTGCCCCAGGCAGCTCTAGAGACTTACGTTAACGCCAAGAAAATCTGAACTCCACAATATGCACTCTGTGGTTTGTAGTCATTTCAAGAGAAAGGTGGTAAATGAATGGGCAGAGCATCACATGTGCACACACACACACACACACACACACACACACACACACACACACACAGGCACACACGCTTTTTTCCTTCAAAATTGTTGTTTCAGTTCTTGCAAAATTCTGGAGCCAGCTGTTTTTGTTGTTGTTGTCTTATTTTCTTTCACTAAAGATCTTTCACGTGTTCACGGTATTCTAAGGACATTTGCTCACTGTGCTCTGGACGTACCAGCTATTCTGAGACCTGAGAATGTGCCTCGGGCCTTGCTGTCCCCATGCCTGCACACCTGCTGTGTCACCCTTTTTCAGAGCGCCCTCCCTGCTCCAGTGCAGAGCTAGAGCGTCCTTTCAGATGGTCTCCCTTCCCTTTCGGGACACCCTCCATAGAGACAGCTAGCTCACCCAATGGTCGCCATTTAAACATCCTTTCAGAATTCCCTACACACTCTCCATACATAAAAAGGTCCGCCCTGTCATCTCTTACGTCTCCTTTATTGCCCCTGTTATAATCACAGGATCTCTTGGTTAAAATGTTGGTGTACTCAGTACCTGCTCGTTCATAAGACTGTAAGGTGTTGGAGACAGGCCCCCCAGTCATGTTTGCTTTCTTGTGTTTCGAAGTTTTGGGGATCAGAGCCACCTCAAGCACACTAGATGAGCACTCACCCACGGACCTGCAGCCCCATGGCCACCGTGTTGACCGCTGTATTCTCAACACCTAGCTCACTCTATGATAGATAAGAAACCGAGTAAACATTGAGCAATACGGCAATCCCTGCATTCTTGATGTAGTGCATTCCTGGACACCACAGCTCCCAGGAGGCCCTTGTGAAAGTGCTGAGAACTAATTCAGTGGAAAGCATTCAGTAAGTGAATAGAAGTGAATAGAGGGTCAAGATCCACTGGGGAAGCCAAATGGCAGAGTAGTCTGAAGCACAGACCGGCTTCCCAGCAGGTGTAGCTTACAAAGGCTCTCTTTTTCTCCTTGTTCCCGTGGGCTACTTGCTCCATGGTGTCATGTGGGACTAGGAGGAGGGGAAAGGTACTTTAAGGGCCAGAGGGAAGCAATGCAAGCCGGGGCTCTGCCATGGCTAGAAAAGGAAAAGCAGGACACTGCTGAGCGCAACTAAAGTGTTGTTCAGAAGAACAGCCAGGTCTTAAACCCCAGGCATTTGCTTACTTAGAACTCTGCTGAATTGTGTTTCGGGTACTTACTGTGTTAGTTAGGGTTTAGTTAGGGTTTCTATTGCGGCAATGACAAAACACTACGACCAAAGAACAAGCTGGGGAGGAAAGGGGTTATTTGGCTTACACTTCAGCGTTGCTGTTCATCGCTACAGTAAGTCAGGACAGGGACTCCAAACAGGTCGGGATCCCGGAAGCAGGAGTGATGCAGAAGCCGTGGAGGATGCTGCTTACTGGCTTGTTCCCCACGGCTTGCTCAACCCACGCTATAGAACCCAGGACCACCAGCCCAGGGATGGCTCCACCCACCATGGGCTAGGCCCTCCCTCATTGATCTCTAAATGAGAAAATGCCTTACAGCTGTATCTCCTGGAGGCATTGCCTCAGCTGACGCTCCTTCCTCTGATGACTCTATAGCTGTGACAAGTTGACACACAAAGCCACCCAGTACACTTACCATGTTTCATTGACTCATGTGTCATTTCTTCTGGAATTGATTTTAATAAATGCTGCCATGCTGTGGCATACTCAATTCAGTGAGTGGCCTTTTTCTTTTTAGAGAGCAGCTAGGACAGTGTGCATTTTACAGTTGGTAACACTTTGGAATCCATTTTAGAAATACAGGGGGTGACTTTGGGTGCCCATCCCACAATGAGAGATGTTCTCTCAGCCTGTACTCTTGAGGGAGAGCCTAGGTCCTGCCCTGGATGAAATGACAGACAGACTCTGGAGATCCACCATGGAGGAACTCACCCTCCCTGGGGATCGGAGTGGGGATTGGGTGGGGGGCTGGGGGCCTGGTGGAGGGACAGGGGAGGAGGGGAGGGAGAGGGAGCTGGGATTGACATGTGAAGCAAGCTTGTTTCTGATTTCAATTTAAAAAAAAAGAGGAAAACAAAAAATGCAGGAGGTGATGGTCTAATAGCATTTTTGGTGAAGGAACTTGGACACATCTCAGTAGGAGCCGGCACCAAAGTGGTTTCTCAGAGAAACAATAAACAAGAGAACTCGGGCTCCGGCAAGGCCTGCAGCAGCTGCTCAGCTGAGGGTTTTTCAGTTCTGTGTGACTCTGGGCTGCTCTTACATTTTTCCTTGCTCAGCATGTGGCTGAAGAAGAATTCTGTGTGATTCCTTGGGCCTTTCAAGGGTGTTCAAGCTTGAGACTCTGCCACCCTAGTACAATACAACCACTGAGTGATGAGTGATTCTACAGTAGAGAGAGGCACTTAGAAAAGCAAAGCCACACTCTGTGTCTTCCAACCCCTGATGATGTGGCCCAGGCAACACCATGTAGGCTGAGATGAGTCACCCTCAGAACTCAGCCTGAATTTCCTCACTCTCAGAATCATGAACAATAGGCTAGTTATATTATTTTAAGATGCTGAGTTTTAAGGTAATTTGTTACTAACTTTCCCCCAATTTTGAATCAACTCTCCTTAAAATAGCCTCCGATGACATGAGCCCCAGAGAAATGGCTCATGTTTTCTTGCACTAACAAAACGCTGGAGATGCTGTCGGAAGTCACGGTTTAGTGACAAACCCTGCTGGGATAATTTCCTCAAACACCTTGTCATTGCTCAATGCCACAGTGTATCACTGAGTACCAGGGGCTGCCTAGCCTGATGTAGAGCCTCGGGACTGCCAGCAGGATGGCATCCAGGAATATCTGACGCTTCTCCGTGCCTAGTCACAGCAGTTTCTTACCAGAGCCAACTCTGGTGACCTATTCAAGACCATAACCGGTAGACTGGACTGAATCTGACAGCTTCCAGAGCTGCCAGGGCCCGGGCAGTCAGCAGTCCACTCTCTTGAGAACTGGCACTCTGAGCAGTCAGCCCAGTGACCAAGCAGGATATCCTCAATGTGAGCAGCAGTTTCTCAATAGGAAGTGTGAACCCCAGGGAGGGCCAGCACCCCTAAAGATTAATATCCGGTGAAATGTGAGAGGGAAGCAAGCTGCTTCAGAAAGAAAAAGCTATTTCAGTAGCCAAGTGTGGAAAGAGAAAACCGACTGAATCAACCACAGGTCATAAAGCTGAGTGTGTACAGGAATTTGTGGGTCTGGCCTTCCTAAGATTGTGTGAACTTTTGAAAAAGATTTTCCTCTATTGTTCCGTGAAATATGTACATGTGTGTGTGTGTTTATACTTGAAGGTAAGCCACATTGTGTCATTAATTCCTATTATTCCTATTGTGTGGAAGGCTAAATCCATACATGCAATGCAATAAATATTTTTATTTAAACTTCCCTCAGCAAGTCAACATAGTACCCTCTCCTCTGTGAGCCACTCAGTTTCTTAAGTGACCCCTAAAACTGAAAAAACTAAAATACCTTTTGTAGCCTCTGACTGGCACATCAGGTCTTCTGCAGGCACTGACCACTCCACAAGTCAGAGTACAAACCCATCTGCCAACCCAGAAAGCACGTGGTGCTCCTCCATCAGACTCTAGTCTCTAGCATCAGCCTGCTGACGTGTGCATTCAGACAATGACCAGCACCATCCTTCCTAGAGTTCAGAGAAGCATCCTTCTTGGGATTGGATCACTGTACAACTCTTTGGAGGCATAAACCCAGGAATAATGGAATGGAACCATTACCAAGAAGAAGGAAGTTCCGGAGATGAGTGTGCTGGAGGACCAGCTCAGTCTGCCATGCCTCTGTTAGCAATAGCCTGCTGTGGGCAGAAAAACTCCTGTTCTGTGCCAGAAAGTTCAGAAATCCATCGTCACTTGGTCATTGCAAAAGGACATTGATTGCCATTGTCTAGGCAAACCCTCTTCTGAGGTTGGGTTGGGTAGGCAAGCCCCTCTGAGACCTCCTGATCTTTTCTATGGCTCCCAGTAGCAGACCCAGAGCAAACAATGCCAAAATGTCATGGGCCACATGCCACAAATCTTCATTTGAAAGCAGACAATCACTGTTGGGTTTTCTTCAAATAATGTAGAGGATTCACATCAAATCGGTGATGCGAAGTTGGGTGTCTGGAATGTGACAGAAGGAGCTTAAAGTGACTGTAAGAGTGGGAGATATCCCAAGAACGGCTCCCCAGTCCCCTGCAAGTCCCCTTACAGTACCTGAGTGCTTTCGCTTCTCCTTCGGACACCCTGCTAAAAGACCACTGATTTTACCTCCTTCTGAAGATACAAATGTCTCTGGAGAAGGCGTTGGGGGGAGCGGTATGTGAGTCGACATCTCTGTACTCAGAACAGAAAATAGGGAGAAAGCGGGGGTGCAGGAGATGTGTTTAGAGCTTGAAGGCTGGACACACACGGGACAATGGTCTTGTTGGATATCGGGACTGTCATAAGTTTGAACAGTGAGGCACAGGAGAAAACTACTGAAATGAGACAACTCGGGGAGGAATCACGGCCCTGAGCGGGGGCAGGGCAAGAGCAGTGAGGGACAGGTTGGGGCTTAGAGAAGTTTGAAAAAGTGACTGTGGTCTGGGTCAACCTGAGATGCAGGGAGGGCGTGAGGGAGTGTTCTTCCCATCCCCAGGTGCCAGGAATACAAGAACCCTGGACGTGGGCATTCACATCATGTTGGATTTCATCAGTGATTTGAGCGTCATCCATGCTGTGGACAAGTCCTGATGAAGGCAGTCACCCTGTTAACTCACTGTACTACATGGCCCCGTTCCTCTGCAAGCTACCGGTTTCTAAATGCATTTCACCACTACTCTGAAGGTGAAACTGTGTCTCCAGCCCAGGGAAGATTCCCCAGGATGGGTCACATGTGGTCGCAGCGAGAGCCTTACCGAAGTTAGGTCCCCTTTTGTTTAGGGGCCCAGTTGCTAGCATGGCAGTGCTGGAGACTGCTGAGTAATATCAGTTTCTGTTATCTTCCTCTGCATTTCCAACTGTCAGCATGACATGTGACAAATTTCCTCGAAAGACCAAAAAAAAAAAAGACGCAATCCAAAATTCAAAGAATTTTAATATGATTTATAAGTACATAGCATATGTCAAGTTGTCAGTACGAGAAGAATACCACCGATGATTAAATACAGATACTGAGTAGTAGCGTTTGTTTCTCGTCTATTTTTTAAAGACTTCCTCCCTTAAACAAAGTGAAAAGTAGAAGCTTCCATAGCAAACCTAAACTCTCAAATGTGAAGAAAAAGAGTTAGAGTAAGTGTGATCAGTCTTGGGAGGGTAGTATGTTTGTTTTGTTTTCTTTTGTTTTGTTCAAGACAAGGTCTCACTATGCAGCTCTAGATTCCCTGGAACTCACTATGTAGACCAGGCTGGCCTCAAACTCAGAGAGATCAGCCTGCCTCTGCCTCCTGAGTGCTGGGATTAAAGGTGTTGCACCACCACCACCTGGTTTAGATCAATATTTTTAATGTTGGATTTTGGACTAAAAGCCTGGTGTTTAAAATTTTTTTTTATCCTGTGCATATGTGTGTGTCTAGGTATGTGTGTGTGTTCAGGTATGTGTGTGTTCAGGTATGTGTGTGTGTGTGGTCAGGTATGTGTGTGTGTGTTCAGGTATGTGTGTGTGTGTGTGTGTGTTCAGGTGTGTGTGTGTGTTCAGGTGTGTGTGTGTGTTCAGGTGTGTGTGTGTGTGTGTTCAGGTGTGTGTGTGTGTTCAGGTATGTGTGTGTGTGTGTGTGTGTTCAGGTGTGTGTGTATCCAGGTGTGTATGTGTGTTCTTATGTGTGAATCCAGGTGTGTGTGTAGAGGTTAAGGGATAACCTTGGTATTGTTTGAGATAAGGCCTCTGTGATTTGCAGGCACATACACATGGCTAGGTGGGCTCTGATCTCCCAGGGATTCTCCTGCCTCTGTCCACATCACTGTGTAGGAGAGCTGGATGTCAGATGTGCGTCTACTGTGAGCAGCTTACACGGGTTCTAGAGATAGGAACCCAGGTCTTCATACTTGCTTGGCAAACACATAGTCACTGAGCCAGCTCCCTGCCACTGAAGTATCACTTAGGGTAGTGGCACATGCCTTTAATCCCAGCACTCAGGAGACAGAGGCAGGTGGATCTCTGTGAGTTTGAGGTCAGCCTAATCTACAGAGTGAGTTCCAGTATAGCCCAGGCTACATAGAAAAACACTGTCTCCAAAAAAAAAAAAAAAAAAAAAAAAAAAAAGCAAAACAGCTGGGCGTTGCCTTTAATCCCAGCACTAGGGAGGCAGAGGCAGGCGGATCTCTGTGAGTTCGAGGCTGGGCTGGACCGACAGCCTCCAAAACAATACAGAGAAACCCTGTCTCATAAAAACCAAAAAAAAAAAAAGCAAAACAATCAAAAAACCATGGTCTTTAAGGTCCTCAATATTCTTAAAGAGTATAAAGTCCTCTGATAATGAAATATTTGGAAATTGATACGTTTGTCTTCCTAGTTGGTTTTCCTCAAGTTAATTCTTTAAACTTTGTAGTCATCTGTGGTAGTTTGGTTATGGTTTAAGGATTCATACTTTAAGTTTGGTCCTCGGTATGGCTGTGGTGAGGTGAAAAGTACTCAGGTCATTGGGGTCACTAATCTTGGAAGAGATTAAGGGATCTCTCGTGCAACACGTAAGATTTTACAAGAATCAGTTATGAGAACAAATAACCCCCAGCCTTCTCCCTGGCTTCCTCCTTTGAGATGTGGCCTCTTCTTTCACCCCTTCCTACCAATAGCATCCGTCGTGTGGGGACCCAAAGGGGGCTCTCCCCAGAGCCTTTGCCTAGACCTTTAGCATCTCCCAAGCCAAACAGAACTCCTTTTGTTCTGGTTAACCATCCTAAACAGTTCCTTAGAATGACGAGAAACGGGCATGCACAGCATCTAAAACCCTTTAGCTTAGACCTCCTACTGCCTCCCCTCTACTCTCCACCTCCCAACCGTCTGTTCTCATGTGAGAAAGTTATAAAAACAATGTAACAATTGGCACAACACTGAAAGCAGCCAATCGCAAAGTTTTCAAAACCCAAAGCAAGGATTCCGGCTCTGAGCATCTAGGCTTTTTCCCTTCCCACTCATAAACTGTCTTTCTTGAATATATGAGAGTTCCTTCTCCCACACAGACGTCCATTCTCCTGGAGAGAGAATTCTGGGGCTTAGCACTGTATACTTGGTGCATACCAGGGGCTCCAGGATCTGCACAGTAGTAGTCCTCAGAAATTTGGAAGAACACAAGGTAAGGGTTTTATTGTAGCAACAAGAAGGAAACAGGTCTCCCTACATATACGGTGCTTCAAATACTGTCATTTGTCAAATATCTCGAGTATCAGATTCACTTGACCAGAAGGAATGAGTGAAAAGCCTCAGAGATCTGGCTTCAACAAATCTGCCAAATTAGTTTAAATAAACCCTGATTAGCACATTGCGAAGAGTGCAAAGGATGAGTGTGTCATCAGAAAAGCATGGAATGTACTTAGATGTCTCTCTCAGTGGGATGAAATTCTGAGAACTGGAGGACCAGAGCAGGGAATTTCCAGGGGTCTGAGGCTAAACACAAGAATGCCAAGTCTGCACACTTTGGTCATGTTCCTCTGGAGTGAGTGACTCCCCCAGCCCTCACTCTTCCTTTCTATGCTTTTGTGAATGAAACTGTCTTCCCCACCAGGTCCCTAACTCAGGAGCCGAAATCTAAGTCCTCCTTCTACAGCCTGTGCTCTTACTTAGAGACAAAGTCTTTACAAGTGAGGGTGAACACCAACCCAAAAAGACTGGTGTTTGTTTTTGAAAATGGGAAACTCAGACCCACTAATACATACAGAGAAAGACAGTGTGAAGATACAGCGAGAACAGACGTGAACATCAAGACAAGAGTCTTCAAGCCGATGGGAGAGGCCTGGAACCCTTCCCTCACATCTCTCAGATAGCTTGATTTTTCATTATTCTCCTGTAGAATGGTGACACAGGGATTTTCTGTTTTTGAGCCACTCAGCCTGTGGGACTTTGTTGTAGCCTTGGGAAACTTTCCTTCGGGTTTCCAAAGACAGCCAAAACGTCAGAGATAAGAACTGACTGTCAGGGGAATAAACCTCAGCAGCCCTTTGCTTTGGTAAATGGGGTCTAAGACACCCATGCTTCCCCCACGACAGCCCTGACAACTGCCTCAGTCACACAGCTCATGCGTGTTCCTCCACACAAGACTTAAGGCATCTTCAGTAAGGATAAGGAGAAGTGGCCGCTCGGTGCTGGAGCTAGGAGTGTGGCTAGGAGACTGGCTGATTCTCTAGCCATAGCATTCATTCTTGCTGATTTCTTGCTGTGCTTCTCAGGGTGGCCGGAACCTGACCCCCATGTGTATCTGGGCCACCCACATACGCTGTGCTATGTAATCACCAACACTGTGAACAAAGTCTGAGGTCTTTGGTGTTACTTCTGACCTTGACCAATCAACAGCTGTCCTCTCTCCTCTTGTGCCCACACCCTCTTCGCCCCACTCTCTCAACACCTTCAGGTCTTCTCATCGCTGCCACCCAAGGTCTTCTGGGACCATTGTCAGGGCTTCCGTCTGTTACTGACACCTGCAGATCCGGTGGACTCTTCCTTTCGGGCTCCTCTCACCGTGTTGGTTCACAGCCACCAGACTTGCTCAGGCCATCGGTGACAGTGCTCAGTCACCAGGCAGTTTTCGAGTGAGGGCTTGGAAGCTTGATGTAAATGGTCGAAGTCAAGGAGCTCAAGGTTGGAGTTGGGGATCCGGGAGCAGGCAAACCTATGAAAGGACATGAAGAATGGCTTAAGGGAATCCTTTACATGTCTTTAATGGTGTTAAAAAGAAGTTTAAGAAGCTGGAGAGATGTCTCAGCAGTTAAGAACACTGGCTACTCTTCAGGAGGTCCTGAGTCCAATTCCCAGTAACCACATGGTGGCTAAAACCATCTGTAATGAGATCTGATGCCCTCTTCTGGCAGAAAGTCATACAAGCAAGTAGAGCACTCACATACATAAAATAAATAATTTTTTTTAAGTTTAAAGTTCAGTATTTCATTTGGAGTGATTAAAAATGTTGTGAATGTTAAGATGTCAACAACTACCCACAAAAATCAGAATATTATGGGTCATTGCTGTAGTGCCAACTCGTTTGAATTTCCTTTCCCTTTATTATATTCCCTGCCACCACATTAGTTGTTACTTTGGATAAATACTCTGTTTATCTGTTAAAATGCCATTTCATTGTCAACAAGTGTTAACTGAGTGTACTTCTTAAAATTGAGAGTTGGAGGAAACAAGACAGACCAAATCCCCAATACTTTCCTACCCTCCTCTGCTACAACTCCTGTTCCAAATGACATTTTAAAGCTGATTCTTAAAGGGCAAACCGTCCAGTGTGTGTGCACACATGAAGCTGGTTCTTAAAGGATTCTTAAAGGGCAAACCGTCCAGTGTGTGTGCACACATGAAGCTGGTTCTTAAAGGATTCTTAAAGGGCAAACCGTCCAGTGTGTGTGCACACATGAAGCTGGTTCTTAAAGGATTCTTAAAGGGCAAACCGTCCAGTGTGTGTGCACACATGAAGCTGGTTCTTAAAGGATTCTTAAAGGGCAAACCGTCCAGTGTGTGTGCACACATGAAGCTGGTTCTTAAAGGATTCTTAAAGGGCAAACCGTCCAGTGTGTGTGCACACATGAAGGTGCATATGGCATCTTTAGCCACTGCTGCCCCGGATGTCAATCTTTCACCCATTCATGATAATGAAGACCAGAGGGGACATTGGACGGTTGCTGGGGAGAGCGCAGGACAGTCACGCTTTGCTCTGGTCCCTTTTCATGTATAGGATGAAATAGGGAAATGTGGGCTTTTCCTCAGATGTGGGCATCCTCCCCCTTGTACATTTTTTGTTTCCAATTGTTAAGTTTGAGAACTTTTTTGTATAGGTAGGGGTGTGTGTGTGTGTGTGTGTGTGTGTTTGCATGGGGGGTTGCCTGTGCATGTGGACACGTACCTGTTCAGGGAATACAGAGGCCTGCGTGCCTTCCCCCATCACTCTCCGCTTTATATGATGAGGCTAGGTCTCTCCCTGAACCCAGACCTTATACTTTGGACTAAACTCCAGAGAGCCCTGCCTCCACGCCCCTCCTCCTGTGGTTACAGGCGGCAGGGGTGCTGCTGCACCCCTAAAGCTCTGTGCGGTTTCTGGTGATCTGAACTCCAGTCCTCACGCTTTGCCTGGAAAGCACTTTACTAGTTTGGGAATTTTGAAGCTGCCTTTTTAAGGTTTCTGCAAGGTGAGCCAACACAGTTGCTTGGCTGGTACTGTTCTAACTGCTCAGTGGGGTAATGCAGGGCAGCTTCCAGGTTTTCACAGGGGAAGGTAAGAGTTCAGTTTTTATTGTCTCCATCTTCCTCAATCACTGTCTTTTATAAAGCTATCAGTCAGTCACAATAGATTGTGTGTGTGTGTTAAAAATGTGTGATAATTATATTAATTGTTATGAGTTTTTTTTAATGACTACAGCACAGACCTCACAGAAGGTCAGGCATGATAAACTGCTGAGTGTTTTCTGAATTAAGTCAACTAAAGCAAAAGCGTGAAATTGCATTGGGCAAGCACAAAGATGGGCGCTGTGATGAGCAGCTCAGTCCATCACATTCAACATCTCCTTCCTGAGATGATTAGGAAAGGGTTGGGGAGAAAGGGCAGGGGAGAGGAAGCTGGTGGAAAGGGCTCAGTGTTTACCCCCTAATCTAAGAGGCACGACTTGGCTAAACTTGCTTGCATCATTTTAGAGAAATGCCTGGGACATGACAAATGCAGTCCTGGTCCCAGAAACAGGAACTTCTTCAGACTGCCCTGGGGTCACAGCTAGAGAGACCAGGGAAGAGAAGCTTCCGTTAGAGCGTGTACACAGAGAGAGGGGAGGAGGTACACAGGGGCTTTGCGTCCTAAAGCCAAGCATACATCTCCATGGTGAGCTCTCACACTCATACATGAAATACTTGCCAGCCATACTCGGCATGTGGCTTTAGATTGAATGAGTGCTTTCCAGGAGCCCTGAATACTGCAGTTTACAGGAACTTACTTACTCCTTCATAGGACCCCAGACCCGCAAAAGGGTTTTAGAAATTGCCCAAGCTTAATCAGGTGTAGTGGTGCTCACATTTAATCCCAGCACACAGAAGGCAGAGGCAGGAGGATCTCTGTGAGTTCAAGACCAGCCTGGTCTACAGAGCAAGTTCCAGGATAGCCCAAGCTGTCTCAAAAAACAAAAATGAATAGGTAGGTAGATAGATAGATAGATAGATAGATAGATAGATATTGCACACACACACATACGAGTTTTTTAAACACCACCACAGCTCTTGGGGCTATCTAGGGAAGGGTTTTCCCTTTTTTAAAATCTTCTTCCAAAATCTTTTCTGAGAACTAAAAGTAGGAATTGTCCAGTGTGCCGTCAAACCCACTCCTCCACCGTGTTTCATGCTGAGTACTTTCTGAATGGAAATGCTAGCACAGGCCTCTGCAGCAGATGCCTCTCCACTCATTCATCTCTCCACCCATTTGCCTGCCTAGCAAACTTTGCCTAAGTGGGTTACTACCAGGTGTACACAATCCATAGCCCACGGGCAGTATATACCACAGGTTAGCTAAGAAAGTAGCTCAACACAAACGTCGTAACCTTAAAACACTATAAGGGGATTTTGTTTTGTGTTTTCTTGTTTTGGAGAGTTTTGTTTGTTTGTTTTGGGTTTTTCGAGACAGGGTTTCTCTGTGTAGTCCCGGCTGTACTGGAACTCGCTCTGTAGACCAGGCTGGCCTCAAACTCACAGAGATCCACCTGCCTCTGCCTCCCGAGTGCTGGATTAAAGGGGCACTCCACCACCAGCCCGCAGTTTTTTACTTTTTAAATAACTCAATTGTGTTGTTTCCAGATGTGAACTTTGTAGATGACGGCAGCTTACTGCAACATCCAAAGGCTGAACCCACTTGTGCGCCCCATTGCTATGTGAGACACAGAGAATAAAAAGTCAAGTAAGATAAATGCTTAAAATTGGCAGTGAAAGTGCTGGTAATGGTGTCTGGTATTTCCTTGGCACTTACCCTCTCTCTGCCTTTCACTGCTCCACGTACCGTGTGCATCAGCTGTCAACTTCTGACTGTCCTATGGTCTTCATGCTCTAGCCACAACCTTCACTTGCTAGCAAAAGAAGCCCAGGGACAGAGGGAGTAAGAAACTCATAATGGGCCGGGCATTGGTGGCACACGCCTTCAATCCCAGCACTTGGGAGGCAGAGGCAGGTGGATCTCTGAGTTCCAGGCTAGCCTGGTCTACAGAGTTCCAGGATAGTCAGGACTGTTACACAGAAATACCTTGTCTTGCAAAACCATTAAAAAAAAAAACCTTGTGATGGGTCCAAGACTCAAACCCAAGCAGTTTGAAAACCAGACATCAGTGTGAGAAACAAAAACTAGAAAACTTGCTCAGAATGTAGTGACAGTAAGAACCAAGGGAAGTCACAACCATGAGTCAAGGGAGTCAGAGGCCCTGTGTGCCAGTGTCTGGGGCCCAAGGGTGTCTTATCTTCTCAGTAGGAGTGTGGCTTTTGGCTTACAGGTTGTCAGGGTAGGCCTGGAGCGGTGAAGTGGGAATTTAACAAGCTGTAATGGCCCACACCTGCAATCCCAACACTCCAGGAGTGGAGGCTTGAGAATCCAGAGCTCACAGTCATCTTCAGCTTTATAGAGAATTAAAGGGCACCCTGGGCTATGTAATAGTCTTTCTCAGCTGGGCAGCAGTGGTGCATACCTTTAATCTAAGCAATTCTGTGGCAGAGGCAGGTGGATCTCTGTGAGTTCAAGGTCAGCCTGGTCTACAGAGCAACTTCCAGGACAGCCAGGGCTTTAAAAAAAAAGGCTGTCTCTCAACCGCTGTCTAATTGGACTTACAGCCAACTGAATAGGAGAGCATCATTCACACATGGTGCTGCAAACTCAGCCACCTACCTGTGGCTGGGGAGGTTGTAGGCCCTAGAAGAGAACCTGTTACTGCCACCTTCCCTAAATTAGCCCATCTGGGCTTCCTTCTGAGTTCTGGTCTTTTTGTTTTGTTTTGATTTGATTTGTGTTTTGTTTTTTCAAGATGGAGTTTCTCTGTGGCTTTGGAGGCTGTCCTGGAACTAGCTCTTGTAGACCAGGCTGGTCTCGAACTCACAGAGATCCACCTGCCTCTGACTCCCTAATGCTGGGACTAAAGGTGTGCACCACCACCGCCCAGCTTTGAGTTCTGATTTTATGCCCACAAGATGAACACTGCTCTCCTCATCAGAGACACTTCTGTTGTGAGCAGGGAGACGACTGCAGAAGGTTACAAGCAGTCAAAATGCAGAGAGTAAGGGGTCAGGGAGTGTCCGGCTCCAACTGGTATATCTACAGTGCAAGCTATATCTAAGGAACAGTGCAGACAAAGGGATGGAAAGATTATAAGAGCCAGAGGACCAGGACCCCCCCCCCGTAGATGGCACCTTCTAGGCACGACAGGGAAGCTGCACCTATGACATCTCAAAAATATGGCTGCATAATGACACCACCAACTGACATGCCAATGTGGATGGGGGTAGTGTCGCAAGGTCCCACCCCTAGATGAAGAGCTACAGGCAGTCAATGGCTGCTGAGGGGAAGAATCTGTCTGCTCCAGGGCCAAGTCCCACTAGGTCATCCAATCCCAAGCAGTCAGCCATAAACATGTTTATGTAAGAAAGAACAGCAATAGATGGCTCACTAGGGTGTGTGTGTGTGTGTGTAAATATATGCATATATATAAATACTCATATACATAGAATAAAATGAATAAATCTAAAAACTTTAAAATACATAAGAAAAGCCTATCTCAGGAAAAAAAAAGCATCTCCAATTAGTCTATACAAGAGTGAGACCAGAAAACAGCTGGCTTCAATTTACTAATTTTTAAAAGTAGGTGGTTCTTATGAAAAATATTAAGTGCACTGTGGGAAGGGATAAGATCAGTGTGTAGGGTGATGTGTGGAAAAGTTAGTGTCTGCTAGCATCGGTGGTCTTACTGGTAACTGACAGGAATCCTTTCCTTTGTTCTAAGAACCACGGGTAGCCAGCCTTTTGTTTACACTTGATCCTGTAGTTCTCAGTAACGATTTTGAGGATAACATTTCGAAACGGTATAACAGGTTCAGAGAGTTTGGGCCCCTGCCATCCAGTAGGCACTAAAGCGGCCGCACTCAGACCTGCTGTCTTCACTAACTGGCTGGCCACTCAGCTTCTCACTGAGAGTAGCCCCAACACAGAGCTGTGTGAAGAAGTCACCAACTCCCCTCCCTGGGCCTCCCACATGTGGCTCTCATTCTCTCAGCCACCTGCAGGGCTGGTACAGCTGAGGCTTCACCCTAGAGTTTCTGTCCTTATATCTGGGGCAGGAGCCTGACAGGTCACCTCAAGCCCATTCTTAAAAAATTGGCGGTGGGACAGCCTGGAGCCACAGGGGGAGATGAACTTGCTCCGTGGGAGGGCAGGGTCAGTGTCCCAGGCAGACCCTCAGCCTCAGGCGAGCAGTGTTGGTGTTTTGAGTCTGTTGGTGGCACACTACCACAGGTTCAGCAGGTCCGGGTGGGCGGTCCATCCATCAGTGATTTGCTGTGGCCATGCGTTTCCCAGCGCCTGGTCTGTTCTAGGACGAGCCCACTGCCGAACCAGTGCTTCTGAGTCTGTCCCGTTGGCCGGCGCTCTGGCTGGATGTGACCCGTGGGTGAGGCCTGCAGGCAGCTGGGTGTTTCTCTGCTAGGCCTGCGGAGATGCCAGGCCTCGGCGCGGTGACGAGCAGCAGAGCGCTGGAGGGAAGCCTTGTGTTCGCTCCTCCTGGTCTCCACCTGTCCTTCCGCCGTCATTTTTGCCTTCTACGGAGCATCTGTCTGGTAAAATTACACCGTGAGCGTGCATCATTTCATTTTTCCCAGTAGCCACGTTAAAATATATAAACAGCTGGGTATAGCGGCTCATGTCTGCAACCACAGCATTCAGGAGGCTGAGGCAGGAGGATTACTGTAAGTTCAAGACCAGCCTGGATTATTGTATTAGTCAGGGTTCTCTAGGACAGGGTTTCCCACCTTCCTAATGCTGTGACCCTGTAATACACTTCCTCGTGTTGTGGTGACCTTCAACGAGAAAATTATTTTGTTGCTGCTTCATAACTAACTTTGCTACTGTTATGAATCATAATGTAAATAGCTGACATTATGACCCCTGTGGGGGTCATGATCCACAGGTTGAGAACTTCTGCTCTAGAGGAACAGAATTTATAGAATATGTGTGTGTGTGTGTGTATGAGTGTGTGAGAGAAAATCCATAAATATGTATAAATCCCATCTATATAGGATTTGTAGGAATGGCTTACAGACTGTGGTCCCATTAGCTCAACAATGACTGTCTACCAACAGAAGGTCCAAAGGTGCAGCCGTTGAGTCTGTGAGGCTGGATGCATGGGTCAGAAACTGAAGAGGCAGGCTCTGATGCCAGGAAAGGATGGACTTGCAAAACCGAGAGCAAGCAGGCAAAGAGCAGCACCCTCCACCCACGCCCTTTGTGAGGCTGCCGCCAGAGACTGTGGCCGCACTACAGGGGATCTTTCCACTTCAGCGACCTGGATTAAAGTTGTGTCTTCCCGTCTCAAAAGATTTGGGTTAAAAGTGAGTCTTCTCGCTTCAAATGACTTCATTAAGAAAAAACTCCCTCACAGATGCACCCAGCTGCTTGGTTTTAGTTAATTCCAGATGTAGTCAAGTTGACAGCCAAGAGTAGCAATCCCAGCTATATAATGAGACTCAGTCTCAAAAACCAAACAAATAAAAAGACAGGAGGAATTAATTTAAAATTTTGTGTTTAATCCATTAGAGGATCCCATGGAACCAGTGCAAGAGTGATTAACGTGGTATTTTTACATCCTTTCCCTCCATATTTTGAATGCTGTCTCACATTTGAGCTAAGACTTAGTGCACCTGCAGTGTGACGCCTAGCTTCCTGAGACTGACAGTGTAGCTCGTCTGCATTTGCAGTCCTACAGGGGGCCGAACCTGGAAACGAATCACTTCATAAAAGGCAACTGCATCCAGTATATCTGTGTGCATCGAAACAGTTCTCTGGAGACACTTGTTAAAAATAGGACAGCCGCTTCCTAACCTCAGAGGTGCCTCATTAAAATGAGGAAAGGGAGAGGATTGCGCAGTCGTAAAAAGCGCCTTGAGCAATTTTCTGTATCTCTGCCAGAGTCCAGAGAGGAACACTCTGAATCACCGGATGGAGGATTGACATCCCACGCAGGGCAGTCAGGCTAGGTGCCCGGAGCCAGCCCCTTTCCCTGTATCCCACACTTGCCGCATGCTTTACACGGCAACCACGAGCAATCACTTTAACTGCCAGGATCAGGTTATCACCCAATTTATAGAATAAACACAGATCACAACGCTTCTTCAGCTTGCTTGCTTGGGTGGGTTTTTGACTTTACAGCAGACTTGTGTGTAGAGATTTGTGTGTAAGTGCTGCCACCCAGTGGTAAAAGCGACTACTGGCACCTGTGGAAAGGAATATGGCCTCTCTGCCTGCAGAGAAACGTTGGGCCAATGAGAAAACGATGGACCAGCTGATGAAGATCCTGGGAGCATTTTAAGCAGAGGTTCTCCATATGTGGCTCACGGACCAGCATCAATAGCACCCCTTGAAACATGCTAGAAATGTGAATTACTAAGCCCGCCCCAGAGCATTGTAAGAATCCTGTGTCAACAAGCCCTCTCTGTTCTAAAGCAGGATAGAAGTCGTAACCCACAGCCACAACCTGAAATAATGGCTCCTGGTCTTTTTAAAGCACATATCCCGTGACCATCGTAGAAAATCTGATGTGTGTGTGTGCAGGAGTACAAACCCAGGTGACAGAGGAGGGTGTTAGGTGCCCTGCCTTGCCCTTTGTTTGTTTTAAAGACTTGTTTCTCCGCGTAACAGCCCTGACTGTCCTGGAACTCACTCTGTAGACCAGGCAGGCCTGGAACTCAGAGATCCCCCTGCCTCAGCCTCTGAGTGCTGGCATTAAAGGTGTGTGCCACCATCGCCTGGCTTTTTCTTTAAATGTGGGTGCTGCGAGGTTAGGATTCGTGTTCTCATGGCTGAACAGAAAGCACCTACACCACCACAGCCCCTGCACTATCTCCTGAAACAAAACTTGAAGAGCACACACAGCTAGACTTGGCAACCACGTGGAGCTGGCCATGGTTCCTAGTACTGACCCTGCCATGGGCCCGGTCACAGTGGATGTGGGGAAGAGCA